AAACCATTTTGCCTTTGCACAGACCCAATTCCTGACTTACTTCTCTGCTAAACCTGAGACTACGCTTAAGAAGAATGTGCATAAATCAGAATAAAGTTAAAATATGTTCATATTATTTAGCTTGAGAAATAATGTCTTTGTCCTTTTTTGTTTTATCAGGTTTAACTTTCATCCATAATTTTCCAACTGTGTGTAAATCCTTTCTCAAACAGTTCAGATGACTCTTCTACCTCCTTTTATTTTCTACCTCTGGTCCAGTTTTATTCATTCTTTCTGATTTTTTACTCTTGTTTTGTAATCCTGACTGGCTGTCACCTTTACAGAGAAGAAAAGAACAGGTCAGTGACTCATTCTGCAGGAAATCAGCAATTCACATTTAAGGAACAGAAGAATCAACTATTCTGCAGTAAGCATTTGGAAAAGCACAGGAAAAGAGCTATGTTTCATCTTCTGGTAAAATACTGCCATTTGTGGGATTTTTCTTAATCAATACACCTTCTCCAAATACACACATTATAAGAACAGATACCTCCAAAGTTAAATTTTTGAAAGTGAGTAGAGGTAGCATTGCGAGTTCCCTGCTCCTTACTACACCAACTGCTAGCACTGGCAGCACTTTCTCTTACAAAAAAAAAATACGCTCATCAGACAACGTGGACCACTCACCTGCTAATTGGCTCCTTACACACAAAACAAAGAATAATCCATGTGACTGTAAGTACTGACACAGTAAAGAGGAGGAGAGCATGGCCTGGCTAACCTCAGCAGCCTTTGAGGTTCAGAAGAGGTAGTTCTCCACTAGTCTGAGACTCAAAAAGCATGACAGAAAGATAAACCACCTCAGAACTAGACTGTAAAAATGGCTTCCTGTTAGAAATACACTAAGGAAATGCTGGTCAGCAACAGTTTGTACCAGTATGAACCAGTGTGAACCAGTTTGTACTGTAGGTGATCCTGTTCTGGCAGGGGGGTTGGACTAGATGATCTTTTGAGGTCCCTTCTAACCCCTGACACTCTGTGATTCTGTGAACTGTTATGTACTGGTCCAAACCGGTCTTATGATGAGAGGCTGAGGGAGCTGGGGGTGTTTAGCCTGCAGAAGAGGAGACTCAGGGGAACCTTATCACTCTCTACAACTGCCTGAAGGGAGGGTGCAGTCAGGTGGGGGTCAGGCTCTTCTCCCGGGCAACCAGTGACAGGACGAGTGGGCACGGCTTGAAACTGCGTCAGGGGAGGTTTGGGTTGGATCTCAGGAAGCTCTTCCTCACGGAGAGGGTGCTCAGGCACTGGGATGCACTGCCCAGGGAAGTG